TATTCCTTGTGACTGTCCCCTTTGCTGGTGCTCAGTCAGGAAGGAGGAGGAAGCAGCCTGAGTGGAATGCAGAAAGTGGAAGTGTTGGGCAAGGACAAGGAAGAGATGTGAGATAGGGACACCAGGAGCAGGCGCTTTGGAGGGAGAGAGAGATTAGGGCCTGGAGCTAGAAAGATGGTGTGAAGGATAGGAGTAGAGGCAGGGAAAAAAAGGGCATGGGTTTTTGTTTGTTTTTAGACTGCTCACAGGATTGAAATCCACACAGAGGGGGATAAATTAAATAGTCTTATTTACAGGGTTTTCAAGTACACACTCTGCTCTCAACAACCCAGTCTAATTCAGCACATACACATGCATGCATGTGGAAAGTGGCCCAGTATACTGGAGTTCTTTCCTGTGCCTCTTGAAGGGACAATGCATCAGTTATCTAACTATGTATGAACACATCAGTCTCCCTCTCAACAAAAGAAGTCTGGGAATGCCATTATTAATGCACCTGCCCAATGGTATTAGGACAGGTCATAGTTCTTCCACTCTTTGGTTTTAAATCTTCTTTTATGTTTGGAAGGAGTGCTGCTTCCTATATTACTATAGTGTCATCTGGTAATTGTGCTTATATTGGTTGTAACTGTGTTGTCTTTTCTCTGTGCCAGGTGGCTTCTTTGTATTGCAGTTAGCTTCTAAGGGCTTGTTTGTGGCTTCTAAGGGCTTGTTTGTATTGCAGTTAGCATTCTAAGGTGGCTAAGTCTAAGGGTACGTCTAAACTACATGGCTCCATTGATGGAGCCATGTAGATTAGTGTACTCGAAAAAGGGAAATGAAGTGCCGACAAACAACTGATTGGCACAGCGTTGCGGCCATTTTGTTTTAAATGAAGTGGCGATTTAAATAATCGCCACTTCATTTAAAACAAAATGGCCGCAACGCTGTGCCAATCAGTTGTTTGTCGGCACAGTGCGGCAGTCTAGACGGGGATCTGCCAACCCCAAAACCCTTTGTCAGCGGATCCTGTAAGCCTCATTTTTGTTTGTATTTCAGTTAGCATTCTTTCCACTTGCCATCTCAGTATCAGGGGCTGTGACTTCCTCAACGGGTGTGATGCACTCATAGGGTACGTCTAGACTACAGGCTTCTGTCGACAAAGAGCGTCTAGACTACATCCAGTTCTGTTGACAAAGCAAGCTGCTTTGTCGACATGACAGTGTAGACGCAAAGGACAGTGTAGATGCAATAACACCTTCGGTCGACAGAACTCTGTCATCAAAGGGCGTTATTACTTGTAGAATGAGATTTGCCACCATCGACAAAACTGCTGAGTTCTGTCAATGTTATGTTGACAGAACTCAGTAGCAGTGTAGACGCAGGTGCAGTTTTGTTGACAAAAGTCCACTTTTGTCGACAAAACCCTGTAGTTTAGGCCCACTCATAGAAACACGCCTCCGGTGTTTGTGATTTCACCTAAACTGACTGTCCATTCTTTTTTGAGATGCCCTGAGGAACCAGCATCTGATGGAGTAATTCTTGAGTCCATGGCTCTTCCACCAGCTAATAGAGGTGTTCTTACCATATTTTGAACTGCGGGTTTTAGGGGAGTATTCCCCTCTCCTCCCCCAAATCTCTGCTCTAAGGTACAACTACATGTAGGGTCCCCTCATCGATCCCGGATAAAGTCATCATTGCATTTGAACTCTATCCATACATCATTGAAGGAGAAGTCTATTTAGGTAGGTGGGGGAACCAAAATTTCAGCAGTCTCCAATGGCCCTTCCCCTGAGTCATCATCTCAGTCCCTCCTGAGTAGCTCCTTTTCTGTTGGCCCTTTCAGTCGGAGAGAACCAGGAGGATTCTTGCAGCACTTTTAGGAACCACAGACCCCTGTCCCACCCAGAATTACTGGAATGGCTACCCTGTGGGTCATGCTGAACAGGAGGTCTATTCTTCGGTGTTATCACCTGGGAAGTAGGATAAGAATGTAGGTCTCCATGGACACATTGTATATGGATGGGGGTCCATCTGACTTGAGATTGGGTACCAGGTCACCTCAGATCAGAGTTTGGCTAAAGCCAGAGTCAGTCAGCACTGTTGTAGGAAACCCTTTTACGAGCACCAAGACCCTCAGCTTCCCTGGACTCCTCTTCCAAGCACAGGGTTGACAGCCCAAATCTGTCCATAATTACAGACCATAGAGGGGCAATCACATTAGAAATGCCCCTCTTGACCACATTCATAAAAGTGGTCCCTTCTGCCTTCAGGTAGCAAGTCCATTCTGGTCGGGTCAGCTCTGTTGGAGTTCTCCCAATGGGGCCAGGTTGGATTTCCTCCGAGCTAGGCAGTCTTTCCCACTGAGTTCCTCTGGCTTGTGGGAACAGGATTCCATAGACTGCTCAGGCTCCAGCCATTGCCAGATGTAGTACCAGAGACGCTGAACCACTGTTCATGGCCTAGTCAGTAAAAGGTATTGTACTGAATGAAAGTGCTGGTGGTATGTCTTGGACCTGATGCTAGTCTGGTGTAGCACACCCACCTTCACTTTTTAATAATCCAGGGCACCCTGGTGGTCAGGGTTGCAGTAATCTAACTGGACTGGCCCCATTAAATAAGGATCTAGGAGCATGGCCTAGTGTCCTGCAAGCCTTTGTGCAGCAGTGGAAACCCTCTCAAAACTCATGAGAAAGGCCTCATGGGGCCAGTCCAGGCCATCTTCAGACTCATTTTGGTGAGCTCTAGTTGAGATCCTGGGATGGGTGCACTAAAAGGCTGACTGAAAGCCCACCTGGCCATAGCTGACATATGTTAGATGAGTTTTTACTCTTGGGCTTGATGCTAGGCAGCCAATTCCCACATCATCTGTTGTTGTTGGCTAGTAAACTGTTGCAACAGCTGCATTTGTTACTGCTATTGCCGTACTGCTTGTTGCTGCTGGATTTCCAGATGCCATTTCAAAATGTTGTCTGATTCTATGCTTGTGTCCACTAATTTCTGGTTGCTAAAGTGCCATGATGGTCCAAAGAAGAATCCTCCATTAGCTTACCAGCTTAGGCCTCTCCTCAGGCCTAGTGTTGTATCCACATTGTCTTCCATCCTCCATGTGTGACAGTATTGTGGGGCTCCATCCAGTATGGGGCATGTGACCCTTGTCTCCCTTAAGATTTACGGGTGTGGCCATAAGTACCCCACATTTATGCCCCTGTAGCCAAAGTCAATAACCTTGCTCCTATTTGCAGGTCAATAAAACCTAGTGGCCAAAGTCAATGTCTTTGGCCCTGTTAGCAGCACAATGTGGCCCAGAGGCCAAAGTCAATAGATTCCCCATCAGCAGCAGGATAGCAAGGCTTAATGGCCAAAGTCAATATGCTCACCCCAGTCTGCAGGGCAGTAAGGTCTATAGTTCCCCTATCCAGTGTGGGATGGGTGAGCCTCATCTCCATTAGGATGTAGCGGCAAGACTTAAGTAGCTGGCATTTGAAACAGGTGCCATATGAAGATATATTAAAAAACTGGGACTTTTCAGCTTAAAAAAGAGGAGTCTAAGGGGGGATATGATAGAGGTCTTTAAAATCATGAGTTACATTATTTATTTGTTCCCATAACATAAGAACTAGGGTCACCACATTAAATTAATAGGTATCAGGTTTAAAACAAACAAAAGGAAGGTTTTCTTCATGCAGCATACAGTCAACCTGTGGAACTCCTTGTAAGAGGATGTTGTGAAGATCAGGACTTTATTTAGTTCTTTTTTTGAACCCTGTTAAATTCATGGAGGTACCTCTGTCAGAGCCTGGAAATAGATGACAGGAGAGGGATCATTTGATGATTACCTGTTCTGTTCACTCCCTCCGGGGTATCTGGCATTGGCCTCTGTCGGAAGACAGGACATTGAGCTAGATGGACCTTTGGTCTGGTCCACTATGGCTGTTCTTACATTTTTATGTTAGCATTTGAATCTGTAGCCAAAGCCAATATACTCTCCCCAATTAGCAGGATAATAAACCCTAATGGCCTATGTCAATAGATTCACCCTATTCAGTAGTGGCCAAAGTCAATAGGTTTGTCATCATGAGCAGTACAGTTAGGTTTAACAGTCAAAGTTAATATGCTTACCCCAATATACAGGGCCGTAAGTCCTATTAGTCCAAGTTAATTCACCCCAGGCATCAGGGCAATAAGGCTTAGTGACTAAATGGCCTTGGTTGAAAAGGGGACCACTGCAGACTAAAAGGGGATGGGGTGGTTGCGGCCCAGGTAGGGAAGCCCGAACCCTTCCATTTCACTTGGTCCCAGCCCAGAGCCCCGGTATTGGCAAAAGCCCATGCCACTGCATCAGCAGGGATCTGACCAAAACATGCTAACTCAAAATTCCAGTTCACTAACCAGGCCACTATCTAATTCCCCTGGGCTGTTTCCCCAAAAGTGATTCCCCCTGCTGTGTTCTGGGCATTTCGGCTGTCTCAGTGTTCCCTGCTCTGTGCTATCTCCGGCAAATCTGGATTCTTCGTGGGTATCCTGGCATCTGCCTCTGTTGCGGTGTCTCCAGCTCTCAGGTCCTAAGCCTTTGGCTACTCCTCAGCTGGAGCCTGAGATGTGCATCCCTTAGAGGTGCATCCTTCCTCTCCGACAGCTAGTCCTAACTAGCCAAGAGCTAGTCAAACAGATGGCTGCAGTAGCTATTACTAGGCCTAGTAACCAGCACAAATTGTGAAAAAAGGAATTCAGAGAGAGAGAGAGAGAGAGATGGATGCAAAGAAAAAAACAATTTAACTATAAATTCCACTTTTCATTCCATTATATGTTTATAAATGTCTTTAGTACTTTATCAGAAGAGGAGAAATGTGTATGATTTCATCTTTACTATGCAACCATTCAATTTTCTCTGAACTGAACTAAAACATGAGGAAAGATCTAAAGACCTGAAATTGAATGAGATATTATATTCATCCAAGTGACTTTTTTGTTAAGTAGACAACCTCTGTGATGATAAAAGGGTCAGTGCCACATCATCATACATACCCATATCCTTTAATCTTTTTTCATTTATGTGTTTAACTCAAGCAAGAGATAGTCATGTCAAAGAATGGATGGATTGATTTTTTTCCTTTTGATTGTATTTGTTTAGCTTCAGGGTCAGGTATGTGTTTTGTGATATTTCCAGAACATCATCATCATCATCTCCAGACATCACTGCACATCTGTAGTAGCATTTGGAACAACAACAAAAATATATAACATAAGTTATTTGAAAAATAACCTGTATTTACTGCATTCCAAAGAGGTATTTAGATTACTTTGTCAAATTAAAGTACTGCTGTGCTACTTATCTCACATTCCAGGTGCTTGCAATAGTGTTTGTTAATATTTTGCAGAATAAAAATGAAGAGTACAATAAACACGTATTTCTTGCAAAAGCAAACAAATATTTACAACATAATGGCATGGCACAAATCTTTTGAAAAGTAGTATCAACTATTCCCTCTCATAGAGTACTGCTGCTTAATAGTTGGTAGCATCCTATTGTTGATATATAGAAGTGAATTTTATGTATATACAGTAAATAAATGTATGTATATAATGGAATTGCTTAAATCTGACTGGTGCCAGAAGTTTTTCAAGTATATTCTCTGAGGCGATAGTGTCATCTGCCATAGTCAGTATAATTAGAAATAACATTTATATGAGAAAAGGAAACAAAAGATACAGTTTCATTGCTATGAAGGAAAGCATCAGGCATTGCTATAAAGGCATTGCTATAAAGGAAAGCATTTATAGCTACTTCTGAAAACAAATTTACTGATTTTGCAATAAATATACAAAATGCTGGAATCATTCTTATTGGTTATAGTCAGAGTTTTCCCACTGCTGACTCTATCATACCAGGATCCTTTGACTAATCTAGCTAAATATGTATGACTTGCAATTGAAAAATACATAGCTGGAAGCATATAAATGAGGTTATTTATATAGAAAGGAAGATCCAGTTTTTCCTAGGCTGTTAGTCTTTGATGAAGGAAGCTAACATTTTCAACAGTGCTCATTGGATATCTCCATTTTTTGAAATAATTTATATTAATATGACATTTATTTTGCATCAGTTCCTAGTGAGCTGAGATTGGGGTGCCATTCTGCTGGGTCCTGTAAGATACAGTCCCTAATTTGAAGAGTTTACAATCTAAAAAGATATGGTGAACAAAGATTGGGAGGAGGAACAGAGGCACGGAATTCATATAGCAAGTCAATTGCAAAACTAGGGAAGGAGCCTAGATTTCTTGAGTCTCAGGCTAGTGACCTATCCATTAGAGCAGGGGTGGGCAATAATTTTTGGTGAGGGTGCACCAAAATTTTGGAAAATGGTCAAGGGCTGCACTTTTCTGTGGAGGAGGCACACGGGCTAGGATGGAGGTTGGGTGCAGAAGGGCACATGAAGTAAAGGACTGGAATGCAGGAGATGGTGTGAGGTCTGAAAGGGAGTTTGAATGAAGGAGACAGTTGTGACCTGGATTAGGGTGTAGAGTCAGGGAGGGAGTATGGGTGCAGAAGAGGATTTTGGCCTACTGAAGGGGCTCTAGGAAGAGATGCAAAGTCTGAGAGGGAATTGTGACCTGAGAGAAGGGGATGCAGACTGCAGAGGGTTTGGGTGATGACCAATGTTCTCTCTAAGATTTTCCATCCTTGGGTGGATTGAATTTTCTTTTGAGTGGGTTGAAATTTCTTATGTGCAACGCCAATATTGAGGTAGTGTATGGATGTGCACCCACCAGTACAAACAAGAATCGTAGATATAAATATATATTTTAAATAGTCGATAGGTGTGGAAGAAAATATATTAAAACAAGGGATAATTAACAAGGAGCAATGCTTATGATTATTTAATATGAAATCAAATAAAAAAGAAAATTAACACTACCCTTGGCTGAAGAAGTGGGTTGTGCCCATGAAAACTCATGATGCTATTTATGAATTTTTGTTAGCCTAAGGTGCTAAGGTGTGGCTTTTTAATTTTTTTTATTTAGTTTAGTAGTTTAGCTACTCCTTTGAGACCTTGGAGTATATGTATCATCATCCTTTTGAACAGATAGATGCATGTTTCAAAGATCTTGCAAATAAGGTTTGCAGAGACACAACTCTACCAGAGAGCAAGATCTGGCCTTAATGCAGTACAGTTTGCCATGTACTAATTAGTAACACACGATTTTAAAAAAATTGTTAAGATCAGCATTTTAGATATCTTTAACACTCAACAATATTCCGTTAAAAGAATCTTTTTCTTCCAAACTTTAAGGGGGGGGGGGAACAATTATTTTTGATAGGGGGTCACTCCAAGAATTTGCAGAAGTGCTCCTCCCCTCTTACTCCCAGACTCACAGCATTCAGTTGAGAACAATAAACGTGGCTTCTGTAGCTCCCCTGAACAGGAGCTCAGGGGATTTGAAATCTATAACCCTCTGTTCATTGGTCAAGCCTTAATCTGGGTGTGGGGCTATTAGGAAGGGAAGGTCAGAGCTATGTAAAGTCTGCTAATAAGTGACCAGGTAGCTGGTGTAGGAGAGGATTCTAGCTCGAGAGGGATGTAGGAAGGAGTACAGTATCTGGGAGGGACTTGTGACCTGGGATGGAGGGGGCAGAGTATGTGGATGGTGACCTGGGGAAAAGAGCAGGGGTGCAGGAGGGGTAGGGGTGCCAGAGGCAGTGTTCGGCTGGGGGGCACTTATTTAAGCATCTCCTGGCCAGCAGCCCTGCAGCACCTCCAAGGGAGGCTGGGTACCCTGCCTGCTGAAGCCCCAGGCCACTTAAAACTGCATGCTGCTCCCTCCATGTGGCTCTCAGCTCCAGGAGTGGAGAGAGACTTGTGCTGCCCTTGTACTCCAGGCCAATCTTCCAGCTCTTATTGGCTCATTGTTTCCAGCCAATAGAAGCTAAGCAATAGGGTGGGGTCAGTTCCTATTGTCCGGTTATTTCTGACTGGGGGTGGGGATATCACAGGTCATCATTGCTGGGTACAGCACACATGATAAAACAAAGCAGATATTCTCCTTCAGAAGCCATATCAAGCTAATTAGACCATGCACTTTTACCAGCCACTGGTGCATGCTTTGAACATCTAAATGCTAGAACACAGGACCTGGTGCTATCAGGAAGGGAAGGTCAGGGCTATATAAAGTCCGTTAGTAAGTGACCAGGTAGCTAACAAGGAGCTAACAAAAGCAGCTAACAAGGAGTTTTGTGAGGGAGTCTAAGGGAGTTGGAAGAGAGGTAGATACACTCAGCATTCTTTAAAACTTTTAAACTAAACTAAAACCAAAACTACTTCATTTAAATAAAACCCGATCAATAATCTAATTATCTGTAGGAGAGAATGCAGACAGAAGCCCAGCAGCAGAGTGGGGGCTATCCTGTTTATTGCCCCCAATGTAGCATGTATGATTACCTGCCCTATGGGCGGGTGGCATATGTGTGCATTCCGTGCAAGGAGCTCCTGGCCCTAAAACCACATACGAATTGGATGAGCTAAGGGAGGCAGAGAGGTACGTAGCTGAGGCTTTCCGGGTCACTGTAGAACTATATCACTTCTAGTCAGACAGCCACTATGCTGTTAAAAAGAGTGAAAGGCTCAGGGAAGGAGAATATTCATCTGCAGCAGAGGGAAACCATCCCATAGTTGGGACCTTCCTTCCAGATGATGTTGTGGTATCCTCTCTCACTGAGGATATCACTCCGAGAGAGGGAACTCCAGTCATTAGGAAAAGGAAGGCATTAGTAAGGGGGAATTCAATCATTAGCAATATAGACAGCTGGATTTGTGATAACCAGGAGAACCATATGGTGACTTGCCTGTTTGGTGCGAAGGTTGTGGATCTCTCGAGACATCTAGATAGACTTATGTGTAGTGGTGGGGAGGAGCTAGTGATTGTGATACATGTGGGTACCAATGACATAAGAAAGGGTAGGAAAGAGGTTCTGGAGGCCAAATTTAGGATGCTAGGAAAGAGATTGAAATCCAGAACCTCTGTGGTAGCATTCTCTGAAATGCTTCCAGTCCCATACAAAGGGCCAAGTAGGCAGGCAGATTATAAGCGTCTCAATGCGTGGATGAGACGATGGCATAGAGAGGAGGGGGTTAGATTTATTAGGTATTGGGGAAACTTTAGGGAAAGGGGAAGCCTATATAGGAAAAATGGGCTTCACCTAAACTGGAATGGAACCAGACTACTGGCACTTAACATTAAAAGGTTGTAGAGCAGTTTTTAAACTAAGGGCCGGAGGAAAGCTGATGGATGTGGAGGAACATGTGGATCGGACAAAGACATCTCTTAGGGGAGGATCTATTAATAGACAGGGCTGTCCTTAGGCATACGCCGAGTACGCAGTTATGTGGGGCACCACTCTGCCAGGACGGACAGGAAGCATAGGTGTGCGCTCTGCACCGGAGCCAGGGCTGCGGGACTGGTGGAGCTGGGGTTGCGCCAGGGACAGGGTCACGCGTGGCGTGCCAGAGGGGGCAGTGCCACATCAGAGTGACGTTGCTGCACCGTTTTTTAAAATGGCCAGTCGCGGATCTGGAAAGGAGGAGGAAGGAGACGCGCGGAGCAGGGCATGGGGGAGCAGAGCCTGGCTAGAGGTGGGATGGTGGCTGGGCTGGGACTGCGAACACTGCAGGGCACAGCGAGCAGCTGGACCTCTCCCCCTTCCAGAGGCCTGTTCTGCCTCTGCCGGGGGCGCAAACTGCTGGCACCCCTCACCCCTC